GGATGGTGGACGGTGGGTTGTGAGGGGCGGGGGATTACAGTGGACGGTGGACGCTAGGTTGTGAGGGGATGGGTTTGGCGGTGATCGGTGGATTGTGGACGGTGGGTTGTGAGGGGCGGGGGATTACAGTGGATGGTGGACGTAAAGTTGTGAGGGGAGGGGTTGGGCGGTGGTCGGTGGATGGTGGATGGTGGGTTGTGAGGGGCGGGGGATTACAGTGGACGGTGGACGCTAGATTGTGAGGGGATGGGTTTGGCGGTGATCGGTGGATTGTGGACGGTGGGTTGTGAGGGGCTGGGGATTACAGTGGATGGTGGACGTAAAGTTGTGAGGGGAGGGGTTGGGCGGTGGTCGGTGGATGGTGGATGGTGGGTTGTGAGGGGCGGGGGATTACAGTGGACGGTGGACGCTAGGTTGTGAGGGGATGGGTTTGGCGTTGATCGGTGGATTGTGGACGGTGGGTTGTGAGGGGCGGGGGATTACAGTGGATGGTGGACGTAAAGTTGTGAGGGGAGGGGTTGGGCGGTGGTCGGTGGATGGTGGATGGTGGGTTGTGAGGGGCGGGGGATTATGTACAGTGGACGGTGGACGCTAGGTTGTGAGGGGATGGGGGGTTAGGCGGTGGTCGGTGGATGGTGGACGGTGGACTGTGAGTAATAGGTAGTATCTATGACCGTGGTGAGTAGCATTGTTGTAAAATGACAAACCCGTGATGGGTATTGGGTGTGGTGAATCCGAGGCTTTGTAGATATGTGAAATGATTTTTGTTTGTGAGCCTCTTTGGAGCCGCCAACCTATCTGTAACATTGCTATACGGACTCAGAACAATTATCAGGAGCGTTTAGGAGGAATCCCAAATACATAAGCACAAACACTGCGCTTTTCATGCAAATCGAGTTGCGAAAAATGCCAAAGACTAACTCCATTGGTGATGAAATTGTACATACGTATATTTGCTTGCTACCTAATGGTCATATATCTGTCATAGATATGTATATGTCATTTACTCAGTAATCACTATGTGTGCGCCATTGTCTGACTTAAGCAATGATCTCTGCAAAAATATACTCGATTTCTTGCATAGCCACCGGTGCACTTTACCTACTTCTTTACTATTTTTTGACTGCTATATATTCTGCCCGCTACCATCTTTTAAAAGGCGTTTTACCGACTGTTCTGTTTATCTTTGAATTGTTTATAGCATTGATGGTGCTGAGTCGGCTTAACTTCTGGTTCTGGTGGCTTTTCATCCAAAACAGAAGTTTAGTGCCAAAGTTGTCGCTCGAATTTGCGTTTTCTGCCCGGCGTAATTAAGTAAATGAATTTCACTCCCACCTGTAAGACCGTTATGTATTTAGCTTATTGCAAGGTGAAGAAGCCCTGGATTGTCATGTTAATCTAATGGAACTCGCAACACGCACTACAGCGGGGCACCCGAGCCCGAGCCCACAATCACTCATTCATTCATTCAGACAAAATTTCCAGAAATAAAATAAATAAGACGTTGGGACCTTGTGAATTTATCAGGTAGGTTCACGATTTTGACGTGAACATTTCCACCGTGTCCGCCGTGCTGAGTTGTATGCATGCTGTTGGACGGCTAAAGCAAATGAGGCGGCCCGGTCTTACAGGCTCTAACATTATTTGGGCTGGACGAGTGTTGATGAAAGCTGTGTTGACATTGCCACGTCATGTTAGGCACCCACTTCACTCAGCACATGGTGAGGTGGAACACCAACAGCCAGAGGTCAAAAAAACTTCCTACTCGTTTACATTGTAGGCGACAGAAGCTGACAGGCACCAGAGACATTTGGTGACAAAGTCACGAAAATGGTGAACACACTGCATCGCACTTGTTGACGGCGTTTCCGTACACTGCTAGCGAACAGACTAACCAGCCAATCCGCGACGAGAATAACATTGAACGGGACGGAGTGGACCAATCGGATGCTGGTGACACGAGGGGACAACGGGGAGCCAACGCTCCAGCCGTCAGCGAGCCTTCACTATGCGTTTTGTAGGCCCCAGGAGCCAACGCGTCAAATATTTTGAGCGGGCCTTTTCGGCACACGTCTACGAGAGGTATACTATGATCATGAACACGTAGCAAAACAGGTGTGGACTCTCGCGAGTAGCGCTCAGTGCTTGTCCAATTTTCAAACAAGTTTGAATGCCTTCAAGAAAGGGACTGGCCCCGTGATGAAAGTTGAGTTGTTGTATTGTGGTTATGATTTTTTTTTCTGTTACAAGCAAGGCAGGACATAACACCGGAAGTAAGGAGTCTTGGGTTGTCTAATTTTGCTGGTTTAGGTACTTGTAAGTTGGACATAACGCTAGCCCGGTAGGCATCAAAAGCAAGGCTGTGTGGATTTTTTGCCTGATTTTGAAACATTTGCCAAAGTTGTCAATGAATGGGTATTTTTAGTGTTAGGTAATATTGACACAACTTTCATTTTGCATTTCAATTTGTTCAGCCCTAGAAGAGCAGGAATTTCAATTTTCATTAGCTGGTAAAAGTATACCAGTCCAAGGACTCCGAAAAAAATGTTGTAGGTTGGAATGTAGGTTGTAAGCTGGAAGGTTGTAGGCTGGTAGGTTTTCTGTTTTGTGTTGGTATGTTGTAGGTAGGTTGTAGGTTAGTATGTATGTAAGTTTGGGTCAGGCTTAATTGTTTTCCTTCATTTCAACTTCTACTTTTTTATCTTGCGTAAAGTGTTTAAGAAGTCTGAATGAAAATAAAAAAACATCATAGCCTAACCTAATCTTTTTTCTACCCTACCACCTATTACTTACCAGCCTACAGCCTATCTACCTTCTACCTACCTGTACCTACAAGTTACAACTTCCCTACCTTAAACCTGCCAACCGACAAGCTCCGAAGCATACAACCCACCTACCTAGCACCTACACCTATTTTATTTGGACTTATTGTATACTAATGCAAAAAATATAATGATTGGAATTTTGGTTAACAATATTTGTGCCCTTGATGTAGAAAAGGAACCTTTTGCAACATGTTGCAATGGTAGGTATATTGTATTATACATAGGCACCTATTATTTGTTATGCCATAACAGGTGTGAAATCTCACCATATAGAACACATAAATCTAAATGTATTATGGAAAAATGTAAAATAGAATATCAGCAATTCTTAAATGCATCTGCACAAGATTAGTTACACATGCATTCAGTGTCCCAAAATTGAGTTTTGGCTGGGGTGTCAGAGGGGAATATTATCCACCAAAAAGGGGTAGAGGGTGGAAACTGCTGGTTAGATTAGATACAAAAAGAGTGAGGAAAGATCAATAGCATTTATTTTTATCCATGAGTATCTATGATCATAAACCAAGTATTCACATTCCACACAACTGCCTTTTGAGGTAACAAACTCAAGGTGTTCTTGGCTGAGAGTGGTTAATTGCTCTTAGAAATTGGTGGCGAAAGTGGCAAATGAATTTCAGTATTTCCCACCCAAATCAACAAATTTTGGGACACTGTACTAATAATACATTATCCAGGTTTAGGGCCACACTAACAGTGACAACATGCCCTGTCGAGTAGAATTCCGAGTGACCCGGCCTAATGAATCCTAGAATTTTTGAAATTTTACCACCCTAGGGCAACACTTATCCGGCCTCCGGGGGCAGGGGACACAAAGGGGGTTCAAAAATTTTGTAGGCGACACAAAATAAGTTTTTTTGACCTCTGCCAACAGCTTTCGGCACAGTCACTCCTGACAAGGCTCTTCCTGCATTACTCGTTACTGGGTCATTCTGTTGAAGGGTAGAAGGCGCTTTTTTACTGGTCTCGGAAAATATTTAACAGTAGGCGTCTTAGCACGCATTTACAAATCAAACTACATCAACCACTAACTCTGTAAGAAACAAGTTACTTGTTGCATGTGTCGCCGCAAACTATCACCACGTTCGATGCACAAACGCACAAAACATTTCCCGTTTCACTTCGCGACTAGTCTCTAATGGCTCAACTGACTCACGTTTTAAGATCTTTAGCTCACTCCAGCGATTTGCTGAGTGACGGCTGTTGCTCACGACACTAATGACGCGCAGACAGGACGCTCGTAGCCTCAACCGGAACACCATTAGCACATCATTGGCGCGCAGGCTGCAGCACATTCATCAGGTCATTTCCTTCACGTGACAGGCCACGACCAGTGCTGCCAGCGCCGGACACGGGATCGCATCACCCCAACGCCCCCGCGCGTCCCCGTCCGTCATTGGGCGGGGTTCGCGCCTCGCGCCGTCCGTCGGTCCCGGCTCGCTCCGACGCTCCAATCCTTCCTGAGGCGGCCATCGGCCGGGCTTTTCTCGCCGGCGGGCCGCCTGCGTCGACACCGGCGCGCGAGTCGGGTCGTCGGCCGTCGGCACCGGCGCGGCGGCCGCTCAGCTGCACGGCCGTCGGAGCCGGCGCGACCGACGGCGGCGGCCGGCCGGCCGGGGAGGGGCGCCCGTCGCGCTGGCACATTGCCAAATGGGCCGCCGGCGCACGCGGTGCTCGAGCGGCCGCCGCCGGCGGCGAGACGCCCCGTCGTTGCACCTGACACGTCGGCGCGCGAGGCGGGGTGCCGCTGGGCACGCCCGGCCGCAGGGTCGGCGGAGGACCGGCGCAGCCGCCAGCCGGCCCGGTAATGGAGCCCAGTAATGGCTGAGAGAGGCATCCGACGTGACGTCAACGACAGCTTCCCGGCACCGATCACGTATACATGCATTTACGGCCGACCGGTCTGGTCTTGGAAAAATGGCGAGAATAGACGCGGCCACGTAATGGACTCTCATTGCCACGCACTGACACTGAGACAATGTTTCCGATGCAAAATATCACTGCTCTTTGGTTTTCTACGGTGATGAACTGGCATTATATGGAAGGACATTCGAATATAATTACTTCACCACGCATACCACTTTGGTGGTAAGCGTCCCTCAGTCCCCCATTGTCTGCCTTTTTCACACACTGATCTTGTCTGGTTGTTTGCCGCAGGCGGGTTTGAGACCAGTCATGTGACAGAGGCGAGGTGGGCCATGATACCCTCCGCCCCTGCCCTCCTTCTGCTATCTCTGCTGCATGTCCTGGCGGCCGACAACCCGCGTCACTTCCGCATCGGCGGCGTGCTCTCCAGCACCGAGAACGAGCAAACCTTCAACAAAACAATCCAGGTAGGTGCCAACACTTCAACGTGGCGGCGGGGAATCCGAGGCGAACTTTATTAATTTGATCGATGGCGAGTGCTTGAATGGTATAAACGCGAGTCAGTTTGCGCATGCTTCCTGACTTTTTTTTAGGTGAAATAACGTTTTATCTGGCTATTGATTATTGATTAAAACTATTAATATTTATGGGGATGATGGGCATATATTTCCCCTTACTTTCAACAGCTCACAATAATATGTTCATCATTGATTTATGCTCGCTTCGCATAGGGGAAATCTGATAGTTTTGCTGTCACTGATTGTGCTGATAACTGCATGCTCCGCTGTTCAGTGTTCTATGGCTCTGCCGCTTCTCCATCAGAAGGAAGGCATGGGATATTCTACCACCATCCCTGTCTCACCACAGTGTGGTGCATTCACCGGGAGATCTGGGCGGGTCTTGCACACCAAATGATTGAAGTATAGTTGGTCAATTAAGTGGCAAAAACAAGAGTAGCGCGTGTCTTCGACAAGACTGACATAAAGAAGAGTCAGTAACGATCTGACTTCAAAATATCTTTCCCCACCATCCTAGCTCTTTTTATTGCGGATATCCAGACCACTCAACCTTTCTTGTGCGTTAAAAGCACAGTCACTAGTAGGACGATTAGACATAATTTTAGCCTGCGCGGTGGAATTAAAACTTCAAATTGCAGCCATTCAAGAAAGTCCATTTAGACGAGGAAGTCACATTTTGCTGAAAAGTTTTGATGATCTTTTGAAGGTGTTTTGACACTCTGAAGAGACAAAATAATAGTTGGGGTAATGCGGTCAATGTTGAATCAGCATCGTCGCCGCATATCGTACACTTTCGCAGCTTCACCATAGATGTCGCTAGTGGTAGACGCCTGACTGCATGCTGTGCCGCAGCACAAGTGTTTTCAAGACCGACTCGTCCGGCGCGCGCTTTCTATTGACAATTGCGTATTACGTTCGATTGTGTTAAGGTGTTTTATTTAGTTAATACGGTGATGTAACAATGTCCACAAGAGCGACAGATCTGGATAACCATACCATACCATGACTGTTCTGAATTCCCGGTGTCTCAGATGTCGCGTCCCAACTACATGCCTCGATAATTCGTGCTGTTTGTGTAATTAGACGGTGTAATATCGACCAGACATCCGTAGGGTTTTATAGCATGTAAATCATTGCTGCGTACCGTTTCGTAATGCTGCAATAGTCAGTGGAGGTCTTTGTGATGTTACTAAGCTGTTCTCAGCACATGCGGGGGATATACTATGTAGTTTGCTTCCTCAAATTTTGCGAGTTCCTGATGCTTATGGATCCCCTTGCGCGATAGCCGATATGATGTTCTCAGAGAAGTTTGCGTATGGATCTTTGATAAGCAATGCTCTTTGCATAAAGGATGATCAATATTGCCCATGTGAAAGGGTGTGTTCGATAGCAGGCGTTATTGATTTCATGTCAACAAATGAGATTCCTCTTGGGACAGTCGGTCAATCACCTCTCATGAAACTTTTACCATATATTAGCGTCGAGCTCATTTATGCTGTTACCAAGAAAACATGGCTTGATGGTTTGTCATTTCACCGCTATGACACTTCAACTTTGGTGCTAATGTGGACTTTGACAGCTACGCTGGAATGATTTCTGTCCCAGCTTGGTGTGAAGTGGAAACCTTCACCTTTTGAACGGCCAGTGCTGCTTCGAACCAATGATCCTCGTTTGCTGATTTTGGATGTTGGCAAATTAGGGCAGCTGGTTATTCTGTTTAATGGCCAATTTGTGAAACAACTTCTGATATTGGAGGATGAATTAGGACTGAAAATGGTCGTTTGTTCTGAATGAATGTTGACTATTGCCCTTTATTAGTTTTGTGCGGGAAGTCGGTTTCAATTAATACAGCCAGTGCCATAAATTTGGTGCCAGAAGAAACATTCATCTTAAGCAGAGATCTAATTAGTGGACCATGCTGCCAGATATATCTTACAAGGGATTAAACAAAACATGGAAACAGACTCGGCGTTTTCCCATGCAGAAAAAGGTTCTTTAATATAGCTATTTTCATGCATAAATTAAGCCAGCTTGTCTGTATCGCCACTTTTTATGCCCACCTGCACCTATCTTAAGTGAAATTATGTTCTTGTTTCAACCATTTTGAACAGCATGCCACCAGAGTATCGGAAACATGAAACCGTCTCAGTCTCTCCTCAGGACCACCTGACGCAGCGGCTGCACCAATTGAATCTCTCCTCCCTGTCTTGTCATTCTACTAACATGAAGTTTTATGTTGCAGATGACCCTGTTAAGTTCAAAGCTGCTATGTGTATGTCGAATATTAGCATCGTATTTTTGTATAACCTTGCAACAAAATTATTGTTCTTTTATCATAACATAACATCACCACTTTTTCACAGGAACTCAATGAACAAAAAGAATATGTATCCCGCGCCTCAACCCTTTACGTTTCAACCATTCGGATGGAGGAGAATCCCATTCGCACGGCCCTCAACGTGTGCAAATACCTCGTCAACTCACAGGTGAGGACATCGTCAAGTTATTTTAGCGAAGAGTGCAGTTCATGCTTCATTGGCGCTTGGCATATAGCGTACGACAAGTTGATGGTGACTGAACTGGAAATGAGCGTGTGCGCTGTCGATTTGCTATGCCTATATGATTCGATTTGTTGATGTAATATTCCTTAAGAAGATACTTTGAAACGCAACTTCAACATCGCTTCTGTTCTGTTTAAGTGTGCCTCTGATTGCTCGTTCTTGTGTGTGTGTGTTTTTTTTTATAAATTTAGCTCAAATATTTGAATGGACGGATAGAGCCGGAGCCCAAGCTAAGCAGAGCTTGTTGCGTAGACCCTGGCCCCTACCGTCCGATCGTGCAATTCCGGGTAACGGGGGAATTTAGATGCCAAAGTTTAGCGTGCCCTTCAAAGCCAGACACGGCCTGTTCCACTCAACTGACTTTAGCTGCGGCTGCTCCCACCAAACGCAGACCATCCCCGTCAGGAGTCTCAAATATCGAGCGCCGGAGCGTCTCGAACCCGGGCTCTCACTACCGGGAGTCCAATGCTCTACCAACTTGGCCACGGGACGGGAAGGGATAGGTTTTATGTCGTGCTATTTTTACTGCATCAGTATTCTCCCTCCCATCCCTGTTGTTTTTAAATGCGCTGTGAATCAAGTGCTTTCAACCCGAGTGGTGGTCCTATATCCAAAATTTTCACTCCCCGTGGCTGTTAGATCGATGCGTATGATGCTCAACCCACGCTCCCCTTTTCATGCTACTTTCAGCAGCATGGAATAATTACCAAGTTATTCATAATTGAGTTCGTAGATAGTGAACACCGAACAACACCGGTACATCTAGGGCAGCATGAGCTAGTAATTAGTATGCGGATGTCGCTCATGAATACTAAGAGATTATCACGCTGGTATTTTAGATGCACAAACTGCAAAGTAGCTATCATAGAAATGCCTTCGCATCAGCACTTGTTCTCGAGCTCTACTCCATGCACGTGCACCATTCTCTTTAGTGGCAGAGTCTTGTACGAATCTTCCGCTACAATGCTGTGAAAAATGTAGGCTGTTCTCCCGTAGCCGCCGGTTGTCGTGAGTGCGAGAATGCCATTGGCTGAGGCGGAAGTCAATTACTCTGGCGCTCCACTATTCAGGCATTCAGCCGTATGACGTGAGTCAGCGGCCCTCAAAGCGGCACGACCGCCAGTATCCGGTAGGGGATGAGTCGCCGCCGCCGCCGCGGTCGGTGGATAGCTCCGTATTTTGACGTCGGCTCATCGTGTCTGGTCAGCTGTTGGTCCATTTTCGGTGCGTTGGGGTTAGAATTGATGTTTAAACGCTCTACTGAATTAGATGGCGTTAGAAAAGAGGCGATAGAAGAAGTCAAAAGGAAGCCTTATGTTAGAGGCGTCGACGAGCTGTTTTGTCTCCTCGACACACATGACTGTTGCATGATATTGCTGCTGGAAACAAACAGGAAAATATAGCGAGACCATCAGCGCCTAAAAAGGTAAACGACTTTGGGTCTCATCCTCCACAGTTCAGATATGACAGCCACAATATTGTGATTTGTGATGCACTAACTACGTCGTAGATTTTTATCCAGTTTTTATGACACTCCGACCATTTGCTCGTAGTTCAGAGGAGTTTAAGCGCCGACAGGTTGGCTTAAAGGCCGAACTCGAGACTCCTGAAGTTATGCAGCGGAAATAGCTAGGCATGATCTAGGAATAAGGCCTATACTCAGGCAAGGGGAAACTTGCCATACCTATCGAACTTGCGCCCTTGGCTACTGAATCACTGGCGAGTGGCTAGATCATGAATTTATATATTCCTGCGAATCCATTTATAGCTTCATCATGAAACGAACACAGTGTGTGATGGTGCCCTGCATAAACTCCGTGTCATGCTCGGGAGTATGATGCTGCTCTTTGAATGTAATCTCCTAACCGTTCCAAATGTGGCGTGTTGATGTCAGATGTTGTCTCGTCCCACTCTGGTTTACTCTTAAGAGGAACCACGAAGGCTCTTACCTTCCCCAGGCTGTCGCTCGTCCCGTTACTGACTGATCCCCGGTGTCCAGTGAAGGCTGACCGCCCTGCCCGCCGTCTCTAAAGTTCGCAATATTCCATAAAGTGGCTGGTTGTGCTCCTTTACGCCCCCATTCCCTAGAATGAAAGCCGGCTGAGACGGCAATGGCTTATGTCTTGTTACATAGGCCGCGCAGAAATGGCACACAGTCGGCCTCTTTGACTAATATTGTGACAGGACTGTGATGTTTTGCGGTGAGGATCCCCGGCTACACCGTCTCCCTAGCGGTAGAAGAGGTGAAAGGAGCCGTAAACGAATGGCCCACTTCAACCGGATGTGGCTATTTCTTCTCGGTGAAACGCTCGTAGCGTCGTGGATTGACGCGTAGCGGGGAGAGTCTGTAGCCGTCCAGCAGCAGCTGAATTGGTTTGATTTCGATATCGGATGTAGGAGTGTTTTTGCGGCTCGAAATATAATCCTATCATAAGGAACTTGAGGTACTAGACGTATGGTTATTTTATTTATTGCATCTCTTATGGTCGTCGCAAGGGAATTTCAGGAATGATAGGGAAATCTCATCGCTACGAACACCGTTTTGCTTAACAAGCGTTATGATCGGGCTAAACGTCATCAGTTCTATCTAGGCATTTCAGGAAATCAACGATATAGCAGCAAAACGACCTTAATGTTAACTTAATGTAACGACCTATGTGTGCGGCATTATCTGTACTTCACCGACCATGGATGCAGAAACATTCTAAAGCTAAAACGCATGAGAAAGATATGAAATCATCCGTCAAAATCAGGTGCTCAGTTTCTATGCGGTAGGTTAGCTTGATAACTGGGCATAGCCACTGTGTATTACGCAGTTCGGCCGTGTCTGCTGGCACAGATGTTGCACTACTGGCATACCTACTTACGATGATCGAACTAATGTCGAGACATTTGCTTAACGTTGTGGGCTGTGTTGCTTGTCTCTAGAGGCTTCAGCTCGTGTTTGTTAAGCCTCGAATCTCGATGAACCTATGATACTGATATGGTTCAACGATGCTGTCTAGATTTTGGACTAGGTAGAGGACAATGTTGTTTCCACCTCCTTTTCATCGTCAGTACCTGGGACTTTGTTTCCATTGTGCGATAGATGAGGCCCAGATTAGCTGGGGATAAAGCCTAGTTCTCATTGCCGATCTGAACTCGTTGAAGCGCTGTGCGCGGCACTTATGTCGGTAAGGGCCGACCGTTGGCAAGAAGAGGGCTGAAGGGCACCATTATGGTAACACTGAGAGCACTCGACGTCAGATATTCCGCTCAGCCAAACAAGCTCTGGAGGCCGCAGTCCTGTTTTTGGCTCGGCGGCCTAGGTGTAACTGGCTCTTGGAAATGATAAAAGCATATGACTTTCCGCGCCGTATTTGTGCATTGGAATTGATCCTGCTTTTTATAGTTATGGTCTCCCGCAGAACATGACGCTGAGTGCTCGCTGGATGCAACGTCACCCCCAACTTTATTTTCAGTCAGGTGCCAGTGGCCGCTACTGTGCGTTTGTGTCTGTTGCCGCGCGTAAGGTCTATATCTATATCTGTCCGTCTGTTGTTACAGGTGTACGCAATGGTCGTGTCCCACCCCAGCACCGGGGACATCTCTCCCGCCGCCGTCTCCTACACGTCTGGATTCTACCACATCCCCGTGGTGGGCATCACCTCTCGCGATAGCGCCTTCTCGGACAAGGTCAGTGAGGTCACCGGGTCATCAGTCACCGGGGTCGAAGGTCACGGGTCATGGGTCGTCAGGGTCGTGGGGTCACAGGTTGTTCGGATCACGTAGATGAGAAAATACGGTCATGGAAAGCGCTTAAGTCACAAAGGTCACGAGGTCGTTGGCGTCACGGATACACGAAGGGCAAATCGCCACGGGGCTACGAAAATCAAGTCTAATAAGAAAATCGCCTCACAACTGAACGGTGTGAAGCGTCTGCCGTCCTGTCCCAATGCGCCCGTCGCATTGGGAGATGTTTAAGAATTGAGGCTTTCGGTTTTTTACGTCTTGGCTTGCGACACAACCGCAGAGGCACAACCGCCCAAGGCAACGCCCGGGCGCTGCCGGCATCTAGTCGTAGCTAATGAATCCGATCACCCATCATTGGATCACTTACGTTTTGGATCTATTTCCAACGACTAAATGTTGTCTCTTTGAATGTTTCTTTTTCTTCAGTTCCACTATATAAAGTACTTCCATTGCAGTCGTATTACCGGTCGGTATACACATGACAGTATGGCCGTTTAATCCCCAAATTCCTCTAAGCATTGTGTGTTGCTGAGGCTCGATGCTGCAGGACTTCTTTCCCTCCCCACACTTTTCCCCTTGTTCGGGAGAACATTCTCGGCTCGTTTCTGCGCACGGTGCCGCCGTACTGACCATTGCCCCCCCCCCTTTACAGAACATCCACGGCTCGTTTCTGCGCACGGTGCCGCCCTACTCGCACCAGGCCGACGTGTGGGTGGACCTACTCAAAATGCTCGGATACACCCAGGTGATCTTCATGCACAGCTCGGACGCGGACGGCCGCTCCGTGTCTAGCCGGTTCCTGGCGCAGGCACAGACCATGGATTCCACCGACACGGACATGAAGGTAAGGAAGAGGCGCGAGGTCATCTATGGACCAGGGGTCACCTGTAGACGAGGGGAGGAAAGTATGCATACTCTGGGAGAGAGCGGAATAGCCCACTTGTAGCCAAAGGGAATATGCTGGCGTTGGGTAAGTGATGGACACTGGTAAGCGATCGGATTCGGTATTGAGGGTGGCTCAAGAGTATGCTCTAAAGATTGTTGTCAGGAGAATCTCTTGCTGCGGATCAGCTATCGTACCGCTCGTCGGAGAGGCTTGGTAAATTCGTAATGGGCGTAAGAAAGAAGCGTAACTGAAGTACGAAATTGCTGTGCTTGCCACGGGGGTAAAATACATAGATCGAAACTCATTAGTCTGTATGGCATAATAAAATGCAACAGCGATGTAGGATATGCCTTCCTTACTTGTCCTGATTCGACAAAATTTCATTAAGCACTTTAACAGGTGAGCTTTCTAGCGGAACATTTGAACTAGTTTTTTTTTGTCAATGACCTGCTTAGTGCTTAAAGTCGTATTTCTCAATAGACTAACACAACACCACAAGTTTTTTTCCCGAAGGACGGTGTTTGCAATTCCTTTTCGTTTTGCATGCAATGAACATTAACACACTGTTTTGATCGTACTAGCAATTACATATGCCTTATAGTTCTGGGAGCGCCATGAACTTTGTCGCTACGAGGCCATTCAAGTGACGAGGTCCGACTTGAATGTCGCTCCGTGTGCTGGTTTTCGGAGCTGGTCCTGTGGTGTGCCGTGTCCCGTTGATACTGGAATCCGTTCTACATTCCGTTGTGTGATGACCTCCAGCCGCTGCATAAAACGCACCCGACCGATGGGGCCAAAAAGTCAAATACGATTAAAGTAAGTCGCCGGAATGTCAGTGCGAAGAGTGGACGGCCGTCGAGCGGGCAGCAGCGAGGCCAGAATACTGGCACTCTGATTAAACATTGAAATAATTTACTGTCTATAAATTTTGTAACGTCATTCTTTCCAACATATTAATATTTTTCGCTATCATTTTTCATATCACCCCAGGGCCTTTAGCCATAATCATCCACATTTTGCTGTTCTCTTTTTCACCCTGGAATTTTCAATTCGTCTGTTGCTCCCCAAAGGGCGCTCCTCTCGATACGCTGCGACTCGAATCGACTGTCCACAACCCGCTCTGCCGTCGGCACTCGTTGATGTTCAGTGTTTGGTGTTCTAAACCACGCCATTGACTAAATCAGATGATTGGCGCCACACGACCGTCGTGGCGAGCGGCAATAAACTGCATCACGTGATTGGACCTCGCGCAGGGGTCTCCAAAAGCATGGTGCACTGATGGATAAGCATGGTCAGCCAGAATGTAAAAGTAGAACGAGGTACCCCCACTATAAAAAGCATAGCTCGCACAGTTAGATACACCTGCGCGGCCAGTGCCGCGGCCACAGCGGCTCTCCGCGCTCTTGGAAGTTCGTGGCAGACGGTGGTGAGCGGCTGATATCTCCTTTCGTTTCTCTCTCTTCTCTCTGCGGAGCGGCGCCCCCCACTGCGCGGCTCGCTTCTCTGCTGTTTGGCGCGCGGCGCCTCTGTAGGTAGATCCGCGCGGCCGACCGGTGTCAGACGACACTGACACTGACACCCGCCGGTCGGCCGCGGCGCCTGTGGCCTGACAGCGCGGTACCATGACACCGCTCGCACTCTCTCTCACTCTCTCTCTCTTTCCACCTTCTTCCGCTCTCTTTTCCTCTCCCTTTCAGCCCGAGACCACACGGCGCGACCTCCTCTGTAGATTCTGTTCGGCCCAGCCTGCTGGTGCAAGCCTTCATTGCTTTCGCCTGTCTTAGCTCCTTCAGCGGCGCTGACCTTTTTGAGGCGCTGACCTTTCTGCTGGCCCTCGATGCTCAGATGACCCCTGTGTCGGGCGAGGACCGCCACGGCTTTCCGGGGCGGCCCAGAGCGTTACGAGAAGCTCCCACGCCTCGCCGGTTCTCCGGGCCGGGCATTAGATAGCTTCGTGCCGGGACGCCGCGCGCATAAGCTCGGGACATCTCCGAAAGGCGCCGATCTCGCCCGACTGATAGTTTTCAGTCGGACGCGGCGCCCCGCTATCTGCCGGCTGCGATATCGACCTGAAGAAACTAGAGCAGCCAAGTTTCGAATAGTGTCAACTGCGACACTGTTTTTGCGTTCGGCAGTTCGGTGTTATCCCACGGAAGTTACCCTTCGAACTACGACTGATTGATCTGCCGTTACTAGTGCCAATTAAGGTGGCTGGGTGTGTCCGAAAGTCATTCATGAGATGTAGGTAGGTGACGTGATCTTCATCTATGGCCCGGTTTCCATGGGCACGTATGATCCGGATCAGTAAAAGCGGGTTAGGTTATCCATTATATGTGGTCAGACGTTATGTAAAAATGAAAATAAGAGATTAAGTGATTATATAAAGCTAATCTGTTTGGAGTCCTAGCTTCAAGCGAATAGTTAGAGAAAATTGTACTATTTTTATTTGGTAAGCCGGATCACAAGTGCCCATGGAAACAGGGTCTACGTATGTCAAATCAATGTGCACATAATATTCACCATTGCATTGCTCTATTTCACTTGATTGGCGCTCATGCTCGGTGGCACTAAAAGCTGTGTACCTTTTCACCACGCTGACACGGTGGTTGTTATAGTTGAGATAGTTACCGCACTTAGTACCGTTCGCTGTTATCTGTGCACCGCACAATATGTGGTTAACACAAGGGTAAATTGTTGTCAGTTGTAACATCTTTGTTCTTGTTTAGTGTTGTTTGTTACCGTGACCCTGGACCCATCCTTTACGCGTATATATCTAGCTAAGGTGGCTGCCAATGTCTATAGTTCAATGCCATTGGCGCCACGGTCACATCGGTAACCAATTATGTATCTCTTTTCTGTGATGCTCACATTTGTATACCTTTTCGAACTTAACATACTTGTCATTGTTGTGAGCCCTGTTGCTGGTGTCGTTAACCTTATACAGGGTGACAATTTGTTGGGATAAACCATCTGTGTGACAAACATTTAATGCCATGTCTATTCTTCATACAGCATTTTCCTTCACAAATCTGCTGGCTCTTCAGCATCGTTTGTTTTGTTTTCGGCTGCTGTCCCATTCCATGTTGCCGTGTCCTATCCGCAGCTATTCCTCCCCAGTCCCCACCCGTTCCCGACCGCGTCCCCAAACCACGCAGCTTCGCCATAAACAGCGCACTACGACCGACAATCGGTTTCGGCAGAGGTCATTTGCCGCCGGCTTGGCAGCGCCCCCGGGACAAGTTGTCTCGTAGCGCGGTTAGAAGATGTGTGTCTCGCGAGCCATATGGATGCCGAGGCTGGTGCCCCCGATATCTCGCGGCTCGGGAGAAAACAACACGCCGGTCGAGGGCGTAAAATTGTGATATTGTTTCGCATGGTCGACTGGGATAAAAGTTTGATATTGTATTATGATCGTTCGTTACCCTACACCGCAGAGCGTGTCTTGTATGGAAGTGTTCATATGTATTGATACATGTGTATTGTGTATGGCTATAAATCTGCATGGATATGGCTCTAAAAATATGTAATTTTATAAAATGCGTTTATCTGTTATATCTTACGAAAATAACTAAAAGGATTTAAGCTGAAGGTAAAATTGTTCATCATAAATGTGTGTATGTTACATTTTCTACGAGGCATTTGATTGGAAGAGCTTATCGTGAATTCAGAGAGAAAGGAGGAATTATGTTTCCCATCTCTTATGAACAATCCCCATGTTTAAACTGACACGGGTCTGAACCCGAGCTTACTCCAGCACACCTTCACAAGGTTACTTCATTCGCCGCAAAACCCATGCCCCTTGTCTCACACCCAGCTCCGACTATGTCCGTACTACACCCACCCTATCCGTACTATGTGGACGCTGAACAGTGTTGCAGCCTTCGTTGCCGTTGTTGTAGCTCCGACACCTTCGGTGAAGCCGTGTGGCACTAATAGCTCGCTCCGTCTTATGAGGCTGGCGGCGGCTGGCGCCGAGCCCCGTCATGACCGGCTGGTTTAATGAATGAACATATGAGCATGTACTGTGAACAGTCAGCGCAGGGAGCAACTCCAGGCATATGTGCAGTGTTCTGGGATGTCATGTACCGAACCGCTGAGGCCAGTTAGGTGCGTGTGTGTTGCGTTATGAACTTGCGATCCCTGACAGGCTGTCATGATAGATGTGTCGATGTTCTTGGAGGGAATTTTCATTGTGCCGTGTAGGCATAGCGTGATGAACACTAGAATGTAGATGCTTTGTGCTATGTATCACATCGCCTGAGAAGTTAAAAAAAAGCTTTATGTTAATGGTTAGAGGAGTGCTGTCAATTGAAATATCTTAAACATGGCTGAAACCCAGTCGCTAATTACCAAATTGCTCAGTCGTCATTTGGCATGGACTTAAATCTGGTACACGTCCTATATTTTGTTCTGTATATCAGTTTAACCCCATTTCTCACCAGTTGGCAGTTGCTCGTAGCCATGTCATCAGGTTAAATGGTCTTGTTCTCTTGGATGATGGAACACTTCTTGAAGTTTGATCCAAAGTACACGATGTTGATGTCAGTGTCAATAGACCAGAAGCAGAGACCTTAGAAGTGTAACGGGATCTCCAAAACCACAATACAAACTGTTCTGATTTATCGTGTCTCTACCAAACCTAAGATACTTTCTTATTACTTACGCATTAAAGCCTCCTTACTTATGATTAAGTTTCAGATCTCGCTTATGTGTTTTATTGTTATCACGTTTCACGGAGATGGTTTATGTAGCCATAAGACTTTTTCCATACATCATTAGCCACGAAATGTCGATGAATAGGCTGTTTACTTATTTTTTTGAATATATACTGATGAGCGTGTTTTGGTGTTCAGTGATGGATCATGGATGTAATATTCCTGTTTTGATTGTTTTTTCTCCATTTTCTTGTAAATATGTCTCGAAACATTGTTAAGTGCTCGAGCGAGGAACATATTGAATATGACAGTTTGTTTTACTCATGATTGTGATGAAAAACAATGTTGTCTGGACATCTGCCACTAGATGGCTTTCTCCTTCTTCATGTCATATCATTCTTGAATTTTACTCTTAACAAGGCTCGCCTGTAACGCTATGTCTATCTCATTTGTATAGGACTCTTCAGGAAGCTATCAAAACGGCTACATGTTTAAGGTCAGCTGCATCTGGGTCGGGAAGGATTGCATGAAGACATCGAATGATCAGCTTTTTATCGCCGTACCTACTGGCCACTTCTACGAACCAGCGCTGCTCAAAACATTCGTAGCGTAGGCTGGCGAAGTCCTTCGACTTCCTGCTGTATTGCACTGTGGCTTATTGAACTATTAAAACGTACAGAAAGCACGCAGTGTTGTGTACTTTTTGTATACATCGCTGCATAAAAATTGTGCTTATAGTGTTTTCATCAGGCGTTGCCTGTGCTTTGCAGTTTTTCATATTACTGTACCTGCAAATCAACCTACGGTGGCAATATACGATTATAATATTACATATTTGGTTATAGTGAATGCTGATTCACCGTTGCTGGAGTTACGTTTATTTGCAGTACCCATCTGCTATGGTTTACTTTAGAAGAAATAGTAATGCGTATGGCTTCATTCACTGTTCACCTGGTGGCTTGCTGCACTGCTACAAATGAGTCACTCATTACACTTGTATCTGCAGATACAAGTTGCCTCTTTGTAGGGAAATGGTTGTGTATAAGCATCGACCGACATAGCAAAAGCTTTATATGTAAATGCTGAGGACGCTAGTAAGTTTTGAATGTTCATTTACTGCCGTAGCGGACTGTATTGCACAGTGCACTGCACAACATCCTTAGGCTAGATTCACATACAAGTAGCTTTCCGAGGTCGTTGAGCACATAGAGATCTTAATCTCTATGGTTAAGCACAGATCATTGTAGCATTTCTCGTGACCTTGAAATGTTTTAGCGGAAAGATATGCAGTATAACTCGCTCTAAGAGTTTATAAGAACTATGTACTTGTCGTTTGTATGGATCTATAATTGTGTACAATGCCGTTTTCCTGTGAATAATGTTTTAGAAACGTAGGGACTCTGCCCTTTCCAAATATCATTACTGCAATTCTTATCACTTTTTGCTCTACGAAAATGAATAAGAACCAGCGCGGACCTGGTTTAGATTTGCGTGTGCTTCCAGTCGGTGATCGTGGCGAAAAATTTGGACTTATTTAAATGCAAATAATCGCCAATCCCTTATTCACGCGATTCCTGACTGGGCCATCTGAAATGCAATGTCGTTGATTTATCTTTTTTTTTTACTAAGAGGTCTGGTTAAGTTAACCCTAGAACGCCTAGGGGGGGGGGGTTGTATCAACCCCCCCCCCCCCTGAGGTTTTTTCGAAGTGCACGCTAAACGGCTTGTCGTAGCGGGCTGAAATTTTCAATACTCTCTGGGGCAACCTTTGCGCATCTTTTGCCGAAAAAAAATTGATCGGGTCATGTCAGGTCACGGAGTTATGACGTCATAAGAGGTACAGCCTCCGGCCGGATTTTCACAAACTGAGTGCCAACGCCCGAGGTTTCCTGCCGGTGGTACGGACATCGGTTGATGGATCGTGATGAAACTTCCCATGCATGTTGGGGCAAGTATTGGCTATCATATGGTATAAGAAATTTGACCGGGTCAGGTCAGGTCACGGAGCTATGACGTCACAAGAGGAACAGCGTCCGGTACTATTTTTGAAAAGCGCCCGAACCACTATTTTGCTAATTCTTGTCACCTCAATGGGAATATGCAGCAATATTAGCTTCTATAGGGAGCAAATGGACCTCCCAAATCCAAAAATACAATCAGATTTCAAAAATTTAAATTTTGATTTTTCGAATTTCTGCCGCCGACTGTGACCTTGCCGACTTCCGGCGCTCCCAACGCGCCATTTTTAGAGCTAGGGAAACGAAATACATACCAAACGATAGAGAATTGATCAAGGAACACGATAGTGAAGGTTTTAAGTCGATATCTCCCACCGTTTTGCCGCAATCGCCGCCGAAAGTTGAAAAAGTCTATTTTTCCGAAAATTTGACCTTTGACCGGTCAAAAGTAGGTCAAATATTGACCTAGGACCAAAAAATATACCACCAATCGCGAGATCTCGTTGAGAGCAATCCGTTGGTTTTTTCCGCTAAGCTCTACGACCTTCCGTTTCGAAACGCCAGGGGGGGTCGTAACAACCCCCCCCCCCTGGTCGTTCGTGTTATGAGAAATGGCCTGGTCGTGCGAGGGTTAACAAGAACCTCGAAGTTTTACTGATGATACTTAATGCCTTTTTCCATTTCCCTGGAATACAACTCCCCAGCTGGTATGAAGCCGCTGAACAATTTTAGCTACGTGAACCTGAGCGAGCTCGTGTTCAACTAATCCCGTCTATCCTGATTAGAGTTGCAAAGTTTTCCCAAAAGGCTGCTACCGGCACCGCCCCGCCCCACAAAAATTTTCTGGGATACCGGCATGCTACCACGCCCCAAGCAAAAAAACCGCCAAATTACCGGCATACTAAAAAAACCTGCATTCTTGATTCTAGCTTACCCCTGCAAGAGATGCCACATTTTGGCAGTTTCAGTACCCCTCCCACCCAACAGCCATCCATTGTCCAACCACAAATACCAGCAGGCTGATTTTGGCTGAGTTGGCCCCACAAATACCCACAATTTTGAAACTCAATTCCAGTCTATAACTGTTAAAATATCACCTGTAATCAAAGAAGTATTGCCTACAAAAAAACTATTACATTCATCAAAAAGGTGAGGACAAACAGGACTTGAATTAGGTACTGAAATGTGTTTTTGAAGACTGGACAGTGAGCAGTAATCACATTTACATTTCACAGTTGTTCTACTTTTCCATATTCTCCTAAAATGTTGCAGGCACCAGCCAAATGTTTAAAATATAGATGGTCAAAACATAGATTAACAAGTACAGATTAGGCCATCTTCCTAACTGAGGAAGCGAGATCAACATCTACTTTTTCCTATCCACTATGGCTTGCTGGTTCGTGAATAAGATACGAATCATGTAAAAAATGTGTTAATAACTCACTGGTCCTGAGAATAGTCACCAAATAATATGTATAAAAACGATATCTTCCATCCTCTCCAACCTCAAGCGGGAACAAACACAAGGTTATCGATTTCGAAACAGATGCGCCATAATAGAGGCTTTTAACCAGCTGATTAAAACGCTGCAAAAAAAATGTTGAACGACTGCAAGCCACTGCTTCGTGAATGATTATATTGATAAAAATTAACCAACACAATATTAAATTATAATGAAATCAACATTGTAGTGTAATTCACTGCAAAGAAATTCATCTCTTTTAAGTTATTCAACCAAAAGGGTATATGAATAAATATTACGTCATCAGATTACATCCATTCATTAGGGGAGAGAGGATCTTAAAAGTAAATCCTTGGTTGTCTAATTATTTGCGCCACTTTTTGTCAATTTTGCCTGCATGATGTGTTTTCTTGTAAAGATAAGACAAAATGCCAGTTTAAATCCATTTTCATTTAATAATGGGACCAAAGTCAGACTCAGGGCTACCTAACACCTGCCTTTTCAGCTGGATTTTCAGTGTCAAATTCTTTGTAGAGTTTCTCAGACCACATCTCATGATCTCAGGACTCAAGGCCAGTTTCCAAACATTGTGTTTTTTGGTGTTTTGATTCTGCCTTTTCCCCTAGGGAATGTTGTCATGAACATTGATTTATTTTATTGTGCTATACGTATTACCTACCATTAGACTTACTAGTTTATCGTGCTTTTGCAACATGAATGAGTATTCTTCCTTTTATAGACCACAGTAGATTCTTGACAATTCTAATTATAACCAAGCCTGTGAATTGTGTGAAATGCTGAGGTCCATGTGTTACCCCTACACTAAGCAATGGAACTTCTACCACAAAATGTATCTTGCAGTGGCTAATATTGCTGTTACTACAATTTGAGAGCCTCTTAGTGTCCAAAGTTTGAATCATTTGCTGATATTTTTTTGCACAAAATAAAAAATACCGGCATGCTACCGGCAAGACATGCCAGTTACCACGAATAAACCTGCGGTAGTGAAAAATTACCGGCATGCCGGTAGTGCGGTAGTGAAATTTTGCAACTCTAATCCTGATCATCCGGCATCACTCGGTCACAGGGCACACACATGAAAGCTGGTAGGCTTTGACCCCGATGTATATGCTTTGTACAGTTCACCACAGACAGTTTCCCTCGGTGCCAATAACCTTGTCACACCCCAAGTGAACCACCCGCTGGTTCACTTGCCCCCTGAACCTGGCTCACTTGCCCCCTGCAAACACCACCGGTGTGATTTGTGGGTCCGGCGGGGGTCTCGGCGAGTGACCTTTGTTGTGACCTGTGACCCCTTTTCGGAAGGACGTGTATGGATGACCTATGACCTCTGACCGGTCGGGCGCGTGCGGATAGGCGCCCTTTGTGACATGACCTTTGATCGGAAGGACGTGTGTGGATGACCTTTGACCTCTGACCGGCCGGCTGGGCGGTGATAGGCGCCCTTTGTGATTTGACCGGTGACCTCTGACTGGTCGGGCGTGTGCGGATAGGTGGAAGAAGTCGTAGAGTTTGAGCCGGGCCTGAAGACGTTCACCGAACAGCTGAAACTGGTGCGCTCACTTCAGTCTCGCGTCTACCTGCTCTACGCCAGGTAAGCACACTTTGAGGATGCTCCAATAAGGGATAACTGGATCTCGCATCTGCCTGGGTCTATAGCCGTGTGATACCTATGGAACATTATGCGCTTTCGGCAAGCTATTTGTTTATCTTTTTCTTGTGTCAGAATTCACAATAGAATGTGGTTATTTTATGTCATCGACTGGCTTCTATCGTCGCTCAGATTCTGATGTTAGCTGCGACAGTAGCGGCGGAATACCTTCAATTAAGGGGGGGGCACTGCCGATGTGTTATTGATGTGTTACTTTTTCATGAATTTCAGCAGCTTTTTCAGCTTATCAGCAGTCAAATAGGAATAGAAAATAAAGAGGCTAACTTGTATGTCTTACCTTCTTTCCTCGGCGTAATACCAAACTTCCTGCAGTTCCCTCGTTTACCGCCATTCATTCGATCTTGAACAATAAACACGTACTACTACACTTTATGTCCGTCTCAGAACACCGAATCCTGGTCTTTATCACACACATATCACCTGTTGGCTGCTTTGTCGATCGGTCCCGCACGCATATGACAAGCGTTGACGCTTGTCCTGCGTGAGTAATCGTACAGCCACAATGGCCGACGTTGCGCTAGTTTGACTTGGCTACTCCGCCATTCTGTGTAGTCGCTGTCGATAGTTCTTTAGCCCGCTTTCCGTTGGCCATATTAACAATAGAACTTTACTCCTACCCCGACTCCTATTCTTCTCCTATGTTAATCCCGTCGTCCGTCCATGGTGTTACAACATTCCCAGGTGTGAAATTATGGTCCGAAGCGCTGATTATGCAGAAAGAAGAAGTAGTTAACCCGATTAGTGGCAGGGGGGGGGGGTGTTTTCATCCACCCCTCAGGTTTTTCGGGAATATCTCTGAAACCGCTGAAGCTACGATGCTGAAATTTTCTGACTTTTCCTAAAACTAAATTGTGCACATTCCCTGAAAATTTCAAGTTCATGACTTTACCAGGGGCGGCTCCAGAGCACTGGGAATTGGGGGGTCCTATTCGTGAAGCGAGTCATTTGGGCGAAGATCACGATGCTGATGTATTATAACTGTATGCACCAGTTTTACGAACAGTGAATGAAAGGTATCATGTGATAACATATACAAAGTTATTGTGCATCCTCTTTTGACACGTTTTTGCTATAATAGGCGGATCCAGGCGTCCAAAAAGGGGGGTTATGTTTTACCTCCCAACATAGGTGCCCTGACACCGCCTATGCATGACCAATACAATTGTAGTCGTTCTCTCATAAGAAAATTGTAACATAACAAGACCATTACCACCCTTTTTAGAAACAGTACCAACAAAAACCTTATTTACTATACTTTTTGTGTACCCCCAATCTCAATGATCTGTATCCGCTTATGATTTTTGAAAATGCATATTTTTAGGATCCATGTGAATTCCTGGTTCATTGTTTATCGATCGGCAAAAGTTGCGTTAAGATTGGTTCAGAAACCTGGCCGTGATAAACAGTCTAAAATGTATCTGCGATTTGCCCGTTTTTACCCCCTCTACCCCCCTATTGAGATTTTTCAATTTTTATTTTTTAGAAATGTAGATCACGTTGAGCGAAATCGAATGCCGTTTGAATTTTAAAAATCGGCCCGTTAGATCTCCAGATATCAGGGGGGGGGGGTCGTAAACAGCCCCCCCCCCCTGCCACTAATAGGGGTAGCCAGGAGCCTGCCACTAATAGGGTTAAATGAAGCAGTGAGAATCGCATTGCGCATATCTTGGGATAGTGCTTCTTATGCTTCGAAAAAAGATTATGTGCTTAGCCTAATACACGTTTAATCATTTTACGTATTTAAACTCACCTCCATAAACTCTATCATTCACTTATAAACGCTTGTAACACTTCGTATTGTCCGTTTTAAATCCTTCCATATTCAGCCACATTTAATAGATCCTATGTTATGCATGAATTTCCAGCATAAGTCTACTTGCATTCAACGTGGTATTTCTGGCGTTCTGGCATTTGCATTCAGCATCTCCAGCCCTGAACACGACAAACTAATTGGCCATGATTCAGCATAATTAGCTATTTCTGGGCCGGAATTATCTAGCGCTGTTGGTGCTGGTTATGCAACGTCGCCAGACAGACCAGCCCTCCCCGGCTGAGCATCGCGTCTTTGTCCGTCGGACCGCCTGACCCTATCCTGGGAAACACTGGGGCCGGCCCGTAGTTCCGTCCGCGAAGTAACTCGGTTAGCCCGCTGTGGGCTGTGTGTCATTCGATAATGTCGTCCGGCGAACCGATTCCGCTGGTGACCGGAACGTGGGCCGGCTCAGAGCAGCGGTGACCTGGGGTCAGCTCCGGGGGCATTGTTCCGAGGTTTGGCACATGGAATAGGCTTTTGTCCGTCTTGATCCACCATGGAGTGTCCATTTTTACACTTGATTTATATGTATCCTACATAGCTGGAGAATTGTGCTGTACTGAGGGTGCTCGAGCTCTCCAAATTCCATGCCGGCTTGGCTTTGGAGCCGCAACAGACAGCGGAGGTCAAAGTTACTGCTAGGGCGGCAGCGGCTTTGCTGCGCCTGAGCACCCCAGTTCGACACAATTCTTTACCTATCCATGCCTATATGTATGCATCTTTTTCGCTTGGTTTATTGATTGTGGGCGAATGACATTCCCAATTGATACTCACCTTCCATGCATTGAATTAGCCATTGTTCACTTCGATGCAGGAGATGATTCACCGTTGCCACGCGAACAGACGGTTTGGTCGTCATGCCTTAGTACCAACGCAGCTGTGGCGACTATGCTGGCCTGGGTATGCCTTGTCCACATCTCTCAGGGCTTGTTCGCCAGCTGCTTCCTGTCTCGCTGACCGGTGCCTGGGCTTGTTTGCTGGCTGCCGTCCCTCCTACTGTTCAATCTCTGCTATGGTGGTCGTGGCTCCGCTCACTATTCATACACTTGTTCGCTGGCCGCGGCCCGCCTCTCTAACGACTGCCCAGGCTTGTTTCGCTCGCCGCCCAGGCTTGTTTCCCAGCCCCGCCTGGTATCTGACGTTCGCTGCGGCCGGCTGGAGCCGGGTTCCGATGATAGATGCCGCCGTCAGAGCCAGCTAATGATACTGGACTGGCCGGGCGTGGGGAGTGTTTCCGCACCGCTGCCCCGCCGCCGTGTAAGCCGCCTCTCGGACCATCTGACACCGGCGGAGGGCGTCATAAAGCGTCACCAAGTGCTGGCCGGGTGTGGGGAGCTGTCAGCGGGAGCGGCGGTGTCATAAGCTGACAGCAGTCAGACGTGGGCAGCAGCTGACGGTGGACGCTGACAGCTGTTCTGTGAACAGTGCTCACAGCCGTCAGCAGCTTTTGCAACTTTGATGGGTGTTTGTCGGCGAAAAGCTCCCTGCAGACAGATGCTGTCGGGAAGCAACATAAGTCGGAAGACTTTTGTAGCACCTGGATCGTCTCTTAGTTGCTAAAGGGCTAGGATTGTGGCCGTTGCAGTGGCGAATCACCACATAAAAATTAATGTGATATTGTGAACCATATACCGAGCTCAGCTGGGTCGACGTGCGCTTCAATTGAAAATGAACATTCAACACCCATTTTTACACTTATTATTTGCATTTATCCCAGTGGGTAGCTTTATGTTCATTTTCTTTTCTTTTTTTACAGCAATATATTCCTTCAAAACACGACATTGCACATGCAGCAGCGTGCGCCGATGCCGTCATGGTGCTACGGTTCTCGTTAGGCGCGCGCGGACGACGTCATCAGCATCAGCTCGTAGCCGCCAATATCTGTCGCCATCACCTGCTGGCAGCCATCAGCGTCTGTCGGCTGATGAGCCGCCAGCCGTTTGGATCCATCAAAACCACTAACACCGGTCATTAGTAACAGATAGGTGCCGTCATCTTCTGTCAACCGTGAGCAGGATGAGCACCTGTCAACGAGGGCTGTCGAACATCAAAGAACACCGACTTCTCTGCACTTGTAGGCCACCTGACTGGCTCACTCACATAAGCGTCAGGACGGACATCTCCGCCAGTAAGTCACGGTGTGGACGGACACTGGTCGGTGAGCACTGATGACCGCTCGTTGTCCGTGTCCTGTCCGACAGCCGTTAGCAGCGAGAAGCAGCGACGGCCGTCCATCAGAGGCCGTTAGGGCGCCATCAGCGCAGACGGGCCGGCTGAGTTTGCTGATTGTCTCCGCAGTCTGTGTGCCGGCTGAGAGGGCGATCAATAGGCCCGCGCTGCTGACGGCCGCCTCCGCCGCCGCCGCTGAGAGCAGCCAGCCGGTCGGTCGGGCGGGCCGGCGGGACCTCGGCTGGTTGGTCGGCTGGTTGGTTAGTTGGTTAGTTGGCTGGATGGCTACTTGGCTGGTCGGGTAGTTGATCTGCCGGTTGATGGGTTGGCTGCTCTGTTGACTGGGTGGCGGTTGCCCGGGAAGTCTAGCAGGGTTTTGGTTGGTTGGTTGGTTGGTTGGTTGGTTGGTTGGTTGGTTGGTTGGTTGGTTGGTTGGTTGGTTGGTTGGTTGGTTGGTTGGTTGATAGATTGGTTGGTTGATTGATAGATTGGTTGGTTGGTTGGTCGGATGATTGATCTCTAGGTTAATTGGTCTGCTGGCAGGTTGACTGGTCGGTCGGGCTGGTTGATCGGTCAGTCGCTCACTCAGTTGGTCGGTCGGTCAGTCGGTCAGTCGTTTGGTTGGTTGGTTGGCTGGTGGTTCATGTTTAGTCGTTCAGTAAGTCGATCCCGACCATGGTCGATCACTCTCCTGTTCTATGGACCAGCCGCCCCACCGGAGGACACTTGTGCAATCATGGGGTCCTCGCAAGGCGAGCACCGGCCGGCCGGGCTCTGCGCTCGCCGGCTCCGTCGATTGCCGCTCGTGCACCGTCCGTCCGCGCCAGGAGCTCTCCTGGCCGACAGGACGCTCGTCAGCAGGCGACAGCAAGTGTCGACGCTGCTCAGCGGGTGTCGGAAGCCATCAGCAAGCGCTCCATATCGTCAGCGCTGGCCGGCC